AATATGGGCTATGACTTCTCCCGCAATGAGGGCTTGCATTTCGGTAAAGGACGAAGAACGTCGTTACAACCTTTCGTTCCTAAAGGAAAGCCTGACGATTATTATTATCGAACCAGGAGAGGTCTAGGTTATGTCTCCCCTTCATCAGAACAATATTGTGACTCTGTAAAAGAGCTCAAAGAAGTTTGCTCTACATATTCATCATCAACATCCTCAATGAGGAATTCAGATGTTAGTATAAGGGTTGTATTTAAGAATATCACAGTCAACATGGCTACAAGTAACCCTACCGAAATCAAAGAAGGCGACTAGGTTCCGCTTTACGATGAAGCATAGGACCGACATGTAAGTACTCAATGGAGAGGTCGGTTTGAACACCGCGAACCACCAACTGAGGACAAAGTACTCCAGATAAATATGAGGAATGAGGCTAACCCAAACCCATATTTATAAGTGATAAATTAACTCCCCAAGAAAAAGAAGACCTTATTGTTAGGAATCTTGACCCCAAGATTAGTTTGTTTTGATGATAACAAATATTATATGTTGTGTGTATTATGTGCTAACATTTGTTTTGCAGTATCAGAGCTATATCAACAATTATATTCAAAGAGATACTCAAGACATAGATGAGTTCAAGGCAAAATGAAGCAAAGAAGAAGATATACTTTATTGTCAAAATGTAATTTTATATTTTCTTTGCTTAGAAATTTGTACAAGCCTTGATCACTCACACACATGCACACACATAGTGTTAGAACACACTAACACATGCTTAGTGTGTTGGTTAACAATAGAAATCCCCTATGTTAGCCATTAGAGTTTATAGATATTAAGTGAGTCTTAAAATATTTCATTTACGCCCCTTATAAATTAGAATCTGGAAAAACTCAAAAGACCAAAGTTGTAGGTCTCTTCAAGAGCTTTCCAACAAATCTTAAATCATCTCATTCCGATATCGGATGAGAAAGTTATAGTCAAAATACTAAACAGAAAAATTCCAGAATCTGAGTTTACAGTGTAGTCGACTAATATGCCTTGTAGTCGACTACTGATCAATTTTCTGACTTCACAGAGTCTGTTTAGACTCAGTGTAGTCGACTACTATGACTTGTAGTCGACTACAAAAGCAGTTTTTCTAGATTTCAGGTTTAAAATAAGTGACTGTTTATAGCCGTTTTGTGGACGTTAATTGGGTTTAAAATTATGTCATTTTAGAGGCTATAAATAGGTTTAAACATCAGAAAACAAGCACCAAGTTTTGCACTTGCAAGATCAAACATTTTGTGCATATTCACTCTCTAATTTTTCAGATTTTCATGCTAAGTGTTTAGAAAAAAAGAGTTTCTGATATTGCCTTGATTTCAATCATTCTTAGAGATTGTATAGGCAATATTCAGAGAGTTAAAAGAATCGTAAGCCACTGCAGAACTTCACTACACATTCAAGGCTTATAGGATCAATTGTGTTCTTGCTTCAAAAAGGCTAAGCCACTGCAGAACTTCACTACACATTCAAGGCTTATAGGATCAATTGTGTTCTTGCTTCAAAAAGGATTTCTCTCGGGTTTGAGAGGGTTGATCTCTTGGTTTAGAGATTGGGTGGCAATTGGCATGGTCTTGTCAATTGGTGTTGTAATTTGCATGATCTTGCAAATTGGTCAGGTTTGCTTTTGATTTTGTAAGGTTTCAAAATCATAGTGAAAATCTCAAGCGGGATTTGCTTGGGGACTGGATGTACACCGGGGAGGTGGAACCAGTATACATGCTTGTGTTTGTGATGTTCATTTTCTGAGATTGCCATTCTTTCTTTGCAATTTATAATCTACTTTGCATATATTTTACAAGAACACTATTCACCCTCTTTCTAGTGTTCTAGTGTATCTATTTCAGATCCTACACTTATATCTCTCATCCGTGAATATATTGATGTCTTCGCCTGAAATTACGAGGATATGCCTGGCCTAGACCCACAAGTAGCCATGCATCGCCTCAACATCAAACCGGGCGCGAAACCGATCAAATAACAGCAAAAACAGTTTCGTCCACAAATCATGAAGGCAATCGAAACAGAAGTGAAGAAGCTGATCGATTCAGGCTTCATCAGAGAAGAACACCCAGACTGGGTGGCCAATATTGTTCCAGTCTTAAGGAAGAACAAAAAGATCCGTATCTGCATTGACTTCAGAGATCTTAATGTTGCATGTCCGAAGGACGAATTTTCTTTACTCATTACGGATGTTATTATAGACAATACATGCGGTTTGAAAGAATGTTATTTATGGACGGATTTTCAGGGTATAATCAAATCAAAATGTACCCTGAAGACGAGAAACATACTTCATTCAAGACTCCGTTAGGAATATGCTGCTACATAGTAATGCCCTTTGGACTCAAAAACGCAGGTGCAACTTACGAACTCGCCATGAGTACAGTCTTCTGAGATCACCTACAGAAGACAGTGGAATGCTATGTAGATGACTTGGTCGTGAAAAGTCGTAGCAAGAATGATTATTTTCAAGATCTAAAAATGATGTTCGAACTAATGCGAGTTCATCAATTGAAAATGAATCCTACGAAGCCATTTCTGGGGATGTCGAGCAACAAGTTTCTTGGATTTATCGTCACAACAAAGGGGATTAACATAGATCCCGACAAAATGCGTGCTATCCAGGAGTTGTCGCCGATTCGTCGACGTGCCTCTGAAACGCCGCCAATACGCCTCTGACTCACTGCCGACTCATTAGCTCACCTCCAAGTCGCTGCAATCTCACTGTCGCCTCGCTGACATTAAGGCAAAATTCTACCTGAAAACTTATCATTTCTCTTCATGGCTGAACCATCTCCTCAAGATCCATCCCCTACTTTGGAGACACCCGCAGTGGCAGTGGAGGTATGAACTTATTAAAATTGTAGAAGCAAAGATACTTCTTACTGTGGTTTTATCAAGTTAGTTTTACCTCAACTAAACTTGCAGCCTGCTCATATATTGCTCCGAAACTTGTTTTAGTTGTATATTTGGACAGAAGCTCCTTATATTATTAATAATTTTGATCTATTAGATGTATGTGTACTAGTTATCTTGTCTACAGGTGCATTGAATTGGTTTTTTATCTTCTTAATAGAAAGTTAAATTTGTCTCAGTTTGACAGTTTGTTAGTTTTGTGGGATAGTTTGTTACCTTAATCTTAATCTTCCAAATTCCGCTGCTGCATTACCATGAATTTATATACCTTCGGGATAGTTTATTGAGCATATTTGTTATGGAGTTTATTTGAAGGAGAAGATGTTCCAGAGAAAATGTATTTTCTCATTGTTTTTGTCATAACTTGTTTGTGCCTATATTATGATCATACATTCAAATTTCTGATTCTTATCATTCTCTCAGGTTTGCAAGTACAATTATTTGAAGGGATACTTCATATCAATGGGTTGATTCTAATTTCTAAGTGGGAATCTTTAAAAGTAAATATGTAAAGACTAGTTGAAAAACAGTGAACAAGGCTCAACAATATGACTGAATACTCTTGTTATCATTGCAACTGAAGTACAGCCTTCTAATAGGCAAAGTACAAAAACAGAAAAACGAAATCACAGCCCACTTCTTAGCACGTTTGAATGCTAGTGGTAAACCTAAACAGGAATGAATCAAAGTCTAACTACAACCCTACAAACTAGGGATTTATTTAACAAACTAGAGATTTATTCAAACTATAACAAACTTGCTCTACATGCAAGCAACTAACAGAGTCTCAACAAAATAATCTATTTTCTTCGTCTCACACTGTATAGTTTCAATTCATCATCCAGGCCCTAATATTAAATGTTTGTACATTTTACAGGTTCGATGGGATGAACATGCCAATATTCAAAGACCAAAAAGAGTCAGGTGAAGGTTCGATGGTTTCATATATATTTGTTCTGTTTTTATTTTGAACCGAACTAACCGAACTGAACCATATCGAACCAACTTATAGCAGTTCGGTTCCGTTTTGACCAATGGACAGTTTGGTTCGATTGTTCAAAATTTGATAAAAACTGACCCGACCAACCGTTTGCACAGCCCTAGGAGGAGTTACATGAAATGCTGCAATTTGTTTGTAGTTGGAACGGTATGCAACTTCAACTACAACAGTAAAAAGCCATTCATTACTTTTAGTACTATGCTTGCATTCAAAAGTGTCAAAGGTCCCTTCCACTGCACGGAAACTTGAAAGTGTAATTTTTTTGTACTCCAAAATGATCTGGCAGGTCGAGGGCCCTGTCGTGGGCTCTAAAATCCACCTTAAATTCGTGAGCAATAAGATTTGAACCGCGGTTGCTTTGAGTCCAAGTCAAAGGCTCCTCAAGTTTTGGTGAGATCCGAGGGTTAACATTCTATAGTAAAAGACGTCCTTGTAGGTTGAACACCACACCCCTTTTAACGGCCGAAACTTAAACTCAAGTATCAGATCTAATATCCTAAGTCCGCAATAAACACGTGGCCAGCGGGATTTGAATCTGTGTTGGTCAGGGCCTCTGGCACTAAGTCAGAGGCGCCTTCCACAGTTCCACTACACCAAAATTCTCCGGGTTCGAGGGTTATATTAGCAAATAAGGAATGATAAACATTGAGGGACTCTTTTTTTGTTTTGTGTCGAGAAATCACGATGCTTATCCTTCTGAGGTGACCCTTTTGATCTAGACCAAAATTCTGCACAGCGTATCGTTACTTCACTCTTAATCACCATCAAGGCATCAACATCAACGGCGACACCAAAACGCATAAAGGGTTCGATCTAATTAATCCTAACCATTAGATTCCCGATAAAACTTTTGATCATTAATCAAAAAAATATAAATCAAGAAAGAGGGAGAGAGAGAGAGAGAGAGATACCAGTGAAAAGCCTTCATGGGCTCGATGAGGGGGACGAGGGCAGCGTAGCCCCTGATCAGCTCCTCCGCCTTCTCCGGGCTGACGTCATCCTCAAGAAAGAGGGAGAGAGAGAGAGAGAGAGATACCAGTGAAAAGCCTTCATGGGCTCGATGAGGGGGACGAGGGCAGCGTAGCCCCTGATCAGCTCCTCCGCCTTCTCCGGGCTGACGTCATCCTTGAACTTCGCCAGCAGCACGTGCTTCACCACACCCTGTTGTTGACCTCCTTCCATCCCCTCTCTCTCTCTCTCTCTCTGTGTTCAGATCTTATGAAGAGTTTGGGATGTGGTCACCGATAGGTGATGGTGACCGCATACGGAATTAGGCCGTGTGCGTATATGGGCCGCTCCTTCCGGCTGTGGGCTCTCGGATAGAAGAGCCCACATGAGGAGACACGTCAACCTGCAATGATGTGAAAAAGGGCACTTTACGCAAAGCTACCTAGACCCTATCAATTATTTGAGGACACTTTCTAAACTTGTCTCACTAAAGGACAAATTTGCAAATCAGTCTCATTTACAAAAAAAATCCTAAAAAACAACTTGTTTTAACAATATTCGTCAAAACCCGTCTAGTTTCAACCGTCGGGCTAAAACTAGATCGGTTTTGACGAAAAAATATGAAACTTCACGAGACTTGAAGTACCGTAAAGACTGTGAAATTTAGCAGTTATTTAACTAAGCTGTTAAACTTCACGGGACTTCAAGTTCCGTGAAGTTCGTTTCAACTCTGAAGTTGTTTTGAACTATGAAATTTCACGGGACTTAAAGTCCCGTGAAGTTTAGTAGCTTAATTAAATGGCTACTAAAATTCACGGGACTTTTGGGAACTTCTTTCGTCAAAACAGACCCAGTTTTAGCCCGATGGCTGAAACTAAGTTGGTTTTGACAACTAAGTTGGTTTTGACAAATATTGTTAAAACAGGTTGTTTTCGGAAATATTTTTGAAAAAGGATCGGTTTTAAAAATTTGTCCCTCGCTAAAATATCATTGGCACTGATGGCAATTGGTTTTTTAGAATATGACATGAATTTTCATTACACCAGTCGTCAAAATATCTTGATTGTTCCTCTTAAGTTTATTTTTACGTAACTCGACTATGAAGTAGTTTATATCATGAGTTTGGATTTCTGTAAAACCTTCCTGTTCGAGAAAAAGAAATCAAATTTAATACTTTTGAATTTATTTTCGAAATCCAATTTCCTTGAGTAAATGTAGTCTATTCCAAAAGTATTTGTGCACAAGCTTTCTTATACCTCACAAGAAAAGCTTATAAGATGGAAGTTATTAAATATCAAATTTATTAAAAATCTTTCTGTTATGTATTTTCTTTTCTTTTCTTTTTTTTGGCTAAAACACCAATTTGGTCCCTGAACTATAGCCTCATACTCAAATTGGTCCATCCACTTTCTTTTTTCTTAATTTAGTCATTATGCTCCTCGTTAGATGTAAACTTAGTCATTTTTTAACTCTTCGTTAAAAATTCCGTTAAATAAAAATTGAAATGACAAAACCACCCAATTCATTCTCAAAAAAACAATTAGTGTCAATAGTTTACTATTAAATGTGATCCTCAACTGTTAAACATGGATAGTGAACGACATGTCTGCGCTGGGCGCTCCATCGAACATTATATGCTTTCTACTCACGGGCTTTTCGACAATTAAAAAGTCCGACGTTGGTGGTTAGAGTAGTAGAGAAGCCAACTGTTTCCAACCCTTACCTCAACATCCAAGGCTTATGCACTTAGGGTCTGTTTGTTTGCACTGAAGTAACTGTGAAGTAGCAGAAGTAGAGGAAGTAGAGGCATATGGTTGGATTCAAAGTTGTTTCTAGAATAGAAAGCGTGTTCCTCTTGTCTCCTCTAAATTCTCCACCTCGTAGTCTTTCATATAGCCGAAGTTCTAACATTGAAAAATACAAAGTAGGTGTGGAATTATTCAAACTATCGGCATTGCCATAACTGCAAATCAAAGATGGTAGTGGATCTCCATATCATTGTCGAAGTGGACAAAATGGGTTATTCAGTTCTTCATTTTTTTCCTACTATTTTGAATTAAATTTCTTGAATCAAATATGATGGTTCTAGGATCCGTACCTACGCCAATTCTATTTGCGATATTCATGTAGTTGCAAGGTTGAGGAAACATCAAATTATCAAAATTTTAATTTTTTTGGTCAAGGTTTAGTGTTTGTAAAATTGAATTGGTTGGATGTGTAGATGTTCATTGATGGGCAAGGAAAAGCTTAGATTGATTTTAAATGGGTTCAAAAGAGTGTTTTGTTCTAAATCAAAAGTACATTGACCCCTTGAGGGCACTATGGTCATAAAAGAAAAATTAACACCTATTTTTTAACGGATGTTAAAAAGAACTTAATTTGTAGCTGAAGTGAGGTACAAGGACTAACTTAAGAAAAAAGAAAGTATGGATTTGAGTATGAAGACCTAGTACAAGAACCAAATTGGCCTTTTAGCTTTTTTTTTCTTTCTCTCTCTCTTTATTTATTTATTTTTCTTTTTTTTTTTTTTTGTTGGCTTGTCTTTGTTTCTGCTCCAATTATATTTTCATACAAGATAGATGCCTTACAACTTTTGCTGTGTACACTCAACAATACATGCAACCACTTAAAAGCATACTTGGTCAAAAGAAGGATCCATTCAAATATTCGTTAACCAATGGACATAGCAATAACTATAACTGCATCAAACAATTATCTGCAATTAGAAAAGCCGTTGCCCTTTTACACCAAACTAATAAATAAATAAACTATCAGTTTTGAATATTATTTATTTATTTACTTTGTTTCTTTACTTTTTTAATATTTATTTTAGTTTCAAATTTTCAATAAACTCTAAAGAACATGGTCGGTTTCTATTTCAGTTTCACTCAGACAGAACAAATAATCAGATAACCCAAATACAATAGCGTCCCCCTCACATGCTCTCTTCATTATCAAAATAGCAAAAGGAAACGAAAAAGAATAAAAAGTAAATAATTTACGTTGGTAGATGGTTTTCCTCCCAATCTTAAATTCCTATACCTCCAAGAACTACATAAAAAAGGAAAAAATCAAAAAAAATATTAACGTGCTATGAAAACTAATTGCAATAGTAATCCATGAATTGCATCATTAGTAGCAGTTGGTTTAATAGATTAAATTTAGAAAGAAACCTTATCAATCTTTTATTTATACTAGTATAGTGCACGTGCTTTACACGTGGGCATACTTGTGAAATAATTAGTAATATCTTTTTTATCAAAATGAAAATCAAAATTTTGTAGCTAATATTAATAAATGTGATATTTCGGTAGTTATTCTTTTAATAAATCTTAAATACTTTTTTAGATTGCACTTGGTTCTTGCTAGGAAGACAAAAAGCCTAACCTGATGCTCGCGATGCCCATTAATCCTCAAATACAATATTTTTAAATTTAAAATATAATGATAGCTACACTACTTCACTTATATTATTTCTCCATTACAAAAGAGAAATTTTAGTGTCCTACAGTTACAAAGAGACATGCATTATTGAAAGATGCACTTTATGCTATCAAAGATTTAAAAAAAAGATAAATCTTTTATCTTTTGTGCCGTCAACAATATTAGTTTGACTTGAAGGGTTCATGCACCTTCCGATAAATATAATATTAATATGTTTAATTATATAAAATTAAATTTTTTTGTAGATTCTATTTGTAATTTGTTTAATATTTAAAATATTTTTTTATGAACTATTATTTTATATGTTATATTATTATTTATCAATGTATGTTTTTTATTTGTCGTAAAACAGTCATATTATATAGTTTATATATGTGTATGTGTATATAACCATCAAATTTATAAACACTCAATTTTATACAACTAACACACAAATTTAAAAATAATTGCAAAAGAAGATAACAAATGAGGGAAGAATCTTGAATTGAGTAACTTATGCTTTGACTTTCATAATAAAATACTTATGCATTAAAATTCCTAATAAAAGAGTTATGCATTGAATTAATGCTAGTGGATGAGGGATAAGGGATCATTAATTAAGTGAATTGAGGAATTATCAAACATAAGAATCATAAATATTAAGAGGGGCAAAATAGAAAGTCAAAAAGTTTTGACACTCATATTCTCTTTTATAAGTAGTATAGATTAAATGGTGGAGAAAAATTTGCCTAGGCTCCCTCAATCAACTTCGTTCCTCATCTATGGCTCAATTTGACTCTCTTAACCTTCTTGTAGAAACCAGAAGTCTTTCTCCTCTGGAATTACAGTCCAGAAGCTCTTTGAAGGATAAACTTCTTGCCTTAGGGCCCGTTTGGATAATGTAAGTATTAGAAGTAAAAAATAGGTTATAGAAGTAACTTTCAAAACTATGAAGTTGGAAGTAGTGGAAATAGAATTTTTTTTTGTTTGTTTCATATATTTTTAGAAGTAATGGAAGTAGAACTTCTTCCTCTTTATTTACTTTTTTTGTTTGGATAACATTTGGAAATATTACTAGGAAGTAATTTTATCAATAAAAAATTGTTAGAAGAAACTAATAAAGGAAATATTAATAAAAAATTTATTTATTACCTAATTAATATGCATTTCAATTACTTCTGAGCTACTTCTAAGTATTAAGAATTGGAAAAATATTTTGGAAGTAAGGATGACACGTAAACGCCACATAAGCGTTTAAGGAAGTATTGGAAGTAAGTTTTTCAAAGAACCAAACATACTTTTTTGCTTGAAAGTAGCAGAAGTAGCATCTACTTCTTTTACTTTAGCTGCTTCATAATTTCTTCTGTGCAAACAAACAGGCCCTTAGAGAAGTCAAAAGAGATAATATGGAAGCAAAGATCTAGAATTCAGTGGTTGAAAGAGGGAGACAACAACACTAATTTTTTCATAAAGCCGCATCTTTCAGGAGAAGAAAAAATTTCATCCCCTACCTTCAGATCAATGATAACATTATATCTGAGGATTCTGCTATGAAGAGGATTTTTTAAAATACTTTTCTAATCTTTTTCATCATCCATCTGAATCTAGTCTTTCAGTTGATTGGAATATCCTATACCCCGAAGATTCTCCAGATCTCTCCCTCCTTGATTCACCTTTCACCTCTGAAGAAATCAAGACTGCAGTTTTCGACCTTCACCCAGATAAATCCCCTGGACCGGACGGTTTGCATTTGTTATTTTACCAATCTTTCTGGAATGCTATTGAGGTAGACATTGTGGCTTTTATTCAATACCTCTACCATCATCCTCAATCCCTTCACAACATCAA